GAGAACGTGCTAGAAGCTAAGAGACGGCTGAGCATCACGGTGGAGAATGTGCTAGAAGCTAAGAGACGGAAGTGCTGAAATGCTGGTTTGCTGAGCTCATGCTGGGCTGGAGAAGATGGAGAGTCAGACAGACCGGAGGTCATGAGGGGATGGTATGGGAAAGCGATTTTGTGGGTGTGAAATGGGAGAGAAGAAGGCAGAAGGTTGTGTGTCAGGGAGAGGGAGCTCTGAGTCGAAGGTGACGTGGTTCTGCTTCATGACCAAGTCCACTGCCGTGTCAGTGAGATGGGCTGGACTCTGCCTTCCATACATGCTAGGCTCGGCTCAAGGGTTTCTCTCTGCCCCAAGCACTCTCCCTCCTCTTTTTCTGCTTAACCTAACTCACCTCTGTCCTTGGGACCCCATCACCTCCCCTGGTGCCAACTCACTTCTCAGAACTTCCGCTGCACTCACAGCCAGCGATGCACAGGGTCCAGTTACTCTCTAGAATGTGCTCCCCGGGAGAGCGTAAGTGGGGCCTGGATGGACCTTCTTTAAGACCCCCATCTGGCTCCAGCTTTAGGCACTCGTGGACTGAGGGAGCGGCGCTCAAATGGCCTTAGGGACAGGCCTTGGCTGGGGATCCCACCCCTGGACTGGCAACATCCCAACCTACCTTTAATTAACCCAACGAGTTTCATGAAATTCTTCTCCCCAGATACTCTCTACTCTCAAGTTAACATGTTGTAAATTCACTGACATGTTCAAAGTAAACATACGAAAGGCCAATCTTGGAGGGAGGAGATGGGTGGGAAAGTCAAAAAGTCAGAAAGGTTGGGGCTCACCAGCACTTTGGAGTATGTGGGGACCGCGTGCTGGCCTGGAGCAGAAGTCCCTGTCCCGGCAAAAGCATTGGGAGAATGGAGGGGGTAAAGCAGGCAAAATGTTTTAACTCGGGGTCTGACGCAGGCTAAGTGTCCAGGGAGTGAGAGCTACTGCTAATTCTGTGCAAACACATCATTCACGTGTCCCAAGTGTACCCCCACAACAACAGGAGACAACAGGGATGTGTGCTGAGTTTTAAGGGATAAGTCATTCCGGATTAGGGTTTGCCAAGGATAACCCACAAATGGTCCCCGGGGGCTAAATTAAGATAATCATTCCTGGTGAGAGTTATTGACTTATAGCAGCCATCTCAAACACACACGCACAAGACAAGATCTGGGTCTGAATTGTGCTTACCGTGTTCTTAAATGTCACCTGACACAGAGGGGCCCTGCTGCCACCCTTCATGAACACGCATATGCATATGTGAACACACACACACACACACACACACACACACACACGTGCACATGCGCTCATACACACAGAGTCAGGTTGCCTTTCCCGGTCTAGAAACACAACCCTGTGGTCTCAGTGTCCCAGGTCCATGCCAAAGTTCTGAGCACTGTCCGAGTCCAGCCCCTGAGAGGGGAAAGAAATATAACCCAGCGCTGACCACACATCCCTCTCAAACCCTGCTTGGCTTTTAAGGGACATCCCCCTACCCTGTCGGAAGAAACTCCTTTATTCAAATTCTAATCACTGAGCTCCTACTTTGTGTCAGGAACCCCAATCTTTGAGGCACTCTCATTCTAGAAGGGGAGTAGGGTGGAAGCAAACACCTCTAACAGGAGAAATGCCACAGGAGAGGTGTGTGCAAAATGCTAGACACGGGGAGAGGGCAAGAGTCAGGTTAGGGAAGACTTCATGGAAGAAGTGACATCTCAACAGAGCTTGGAAGGGTGCACAGGCATTCCAGCTGGAAATGGGAATTAGGGGGAAGGGTGTTCTGGGCTGAGGAAAGATCATAGGCAGAGGCAGGGAATGGCATGATACAGTGAGGAAATGCCGGGCAGTCCTGGACTGCCAGACCCCAAGCCACACGGAGCAGAAGCAGGTACGGCAGGCTGGGCCTGATCATGAGGGGTCTCTGTTCTAAATGCAGGGGTGGCGCGTCCTCCTTAGAAAGATCATGCTGACAAAGGGGAAGGGATTATGGGGGGTAGTTTGAGCAATTGGGAAGGGAGCCTCTAAGGAGGTCACGCCCAGGTGAAAGAGGGAAATGGGCCTCAGGTAGGTCATGGGCTTTAAGGACAGACAGCAGGGGACAGCAGAGGTAGAGAAGCCAGCAGGAGGGAGGTCCCCGCCGTCCTGCTCGGCCAGGATGGCAGCTCTGAATCACAACGCCATCACCCAGCTCAGCCAGGCTCTACCAGACCTCGGGAGGGGTGGTGGCGACACCACCAGCCTCCAATCTTTCTGGCATTTCCACGTTGGTTCAGACAGGCTAAGGCTGGAGCTGAGAGGGAGAGTGACCAAAACCCTGGGAGCTGGGACTGCTCTCTCCATCCTTTGCTCTGAGCATTCCCTCTGCCCAGAATATTCCCTCCCAGACCGCCGCTTGGCTCCCTCCTCCCCCAGTCAGGTTTCTACTTGGGATTTCCCTGGCTCAGTGGGGTCCACACGGACGCCTGCGCTCTCAGCACCCTGACCCCCCTCCTCCAGCTCTGTCCATTCCTGGGCACCTACAACAATGCCCAGCATACAGTAGTGCCCCCCAAATATTCACTGAATAAATGCATGAAAATATTCAGTGACTCCATTTCCTACCACGAAGGGAAAACTCAACAGCGTGGCATCCAAGTCCTGAAGCATTATGGGCCCAGCCCACTCTTCTGGCCTCCTCCTCTCCCTCCACCAAGGCCTAGTTCCTCGAGAAGCTGCCTTTTTTGGCACTTCCTAAACATCCCATAATGCTGTCCGTCATTCATCTCTCCCTCCCCATCTCTCCCTGTCTTCTGGAGCCCGTCTCCAGTGTCCCTTCTTTTCTGGGGTTTTGCTGACCTTCCTGATGGGATGGGACCTCTCCCTCCTGCAACCCCCAGAGTGCTAGCTGTTCCCCTCTTTCCTGGCTCTTCCTGCACTCTGCCCACAGTAGATCAAGAATTCCAGTCTAATGTTCCTGTGCCCCAGGAGTTCATGAAGGTAGGGATGGAGGTCCCCGAGCTCTTTCATTATCTCAAAAAGGCTAAAGAAACAGACGCGTTGGCAGACCTTGCGCAATTTGCAATGATAAGGCTGAGGAGACTAACTAGTACATCAAGTCTCTGCTTTGGGCTGGAATTATATCAACGTGGCAACAGTGGTTATCTCCTGCTGATAAGACACTGTGCCAGGCCAGGAAATATGCTTGTGATTCGTTAAAAGGGGAGGGCGAGGGGAGAGGAACAAACTAATTATTGCTTAATATATGTAGTTGGGGTAATTGACAAATCTTCTAAAACCTGAGGTCTTCACAGGGGAGGAAGACGATGACCTTGGCCATGAATGCACTTGACCTGTGCCAACTACTAAATTATAACCTCTTTGAGGCTAGAGACCAAGTCTTACTCATCTTTGTGTGTCCGGGAATAAGCACAGTGCCTGACCCATGGGGAGAAAGGTTTGGTAACTGTTGACAAGAATTGAATCAAATAAAAAAGGCAGATGGTCCCTTGCTCTATGGATTGAGAACTTTCTTTTGACCATCTGGGAATGAAGAAACAGGCAATAAAAACCTACTGAGATTCGGGTATCTGCTGGGGGGGGCACGCGTGTTATATGGGTGTCTACTGCAGGGGTGCGTTTTATAACAATAGGCGCCAAGCGAGATAGGCTGTCGTGAAAGAGTAGGGGCCACCATGGTGGACTGGATCTAGCCCCCTGCTGGGCTTCTCCCCCACCCCCCACCCCCCGAGTCAGAAGGTCCCCTTCCCTGGGCCAGGCACAGCCACTTTGGCTGACCGGGTGCCCCTGGAAGAGGCATCCACAAACTGTGGTGTCTCTCTACTCCATCCCTCTTCCCCAGCTGCTCTGGAACTCATCAAATATCATTTCCATATGAAACAGCAACTTGCGTTTAATTACACTGTCATAAATTGGCCTCGGTGCTGTGATTAGAGCTCCCATCTTGCGTTCCCTGGGAAACCTGGGTGCGCCTGGAGCTGGAGGAGGCACCCTGGGGAGCTGCAGCTGGGAGGCCCGGGACCACCCCGCTTACCAGGATGGTGGTGACAACCAGGGTGGTGTTGAAGAGACTGTCGGAGAGGTTGGAGGCGTGGAGGCGGCTGTCCATGCTGAGCCCGTCCGCCACGTGCCACTGGCCGATCTGAGGAGACACAGGAGAGAGGTCTGGGAAGAGATGGGGTTAGGAGGCGGCTGGGGAGCAGGGTTGCTGAGGTCATGTTCGGGCCTCCAGGGTTGGAAGGAGCCAAAAGGCCAGTCCCCTGCCTCTGGCTGGGGCCACACAGAAGCCGTAGAAGGAGGCTGGGATATGGAGTATGGAGAGGGGCTGGACGAAGGCAGGTTACTGTTTCATGGGGTTGAGGGGGTCAGAGAAGATGGGGGGGACTGAGAAAGGAAGGAGAGACAGGGGTAGTGACCCAGGAGAGGTGAAAGAGGAAAGCAGAAAAAATCAAGAACGGAATGCATTTCAGAGATGTTCACTCACACGGAAGGGAAAGAAACATGGGGAATCACATTATCTTGAGTCAGGAAGGAGCCACAAAGCTCTTTTGTTTCAGCCTACCATCAGCAATTCTGATTACCTAAATAAGAATCAGAACGGTATAGTGGAGAGAACCGGCATATACTTGGCCCTTCAGTGAATGTTGCTTAGTGGTTCAATAGGTGAATGAACCGGAAGTGGGAAGACCCGGGTTCTCATCCTGGCTGATTCACTCACTAGCTGTGAGAACCTAGGCAAGTTACTTAAATCTCTCTGAATCACGGTTTCCCCATCTATCAGTGGGGGTGGTAATGTTTGCCCTCAGAGCCAACCGAGATCCTGGATGCACCAGTTTGATGCTAGATTATTCAGCCTGGCCCAGGAGCATGGGTCTCAAATGCATAACCTCCAAAAATTGACTGACCCTCTCTGAGCATGTCTCCTCATCTATAAAATGTGAATAATCACAGAAATGTCATTGGGTCCTTGTGAGAAAGTATTTGACACTATTTTCCTTCCTCTTCCCCATTGTCTTCAAGGGGGGAAAAATGCACAATTGACTCAGTTCTCCATTCTAGAAAGTCGCCTATACTTAAACTCAACCTCATTGGGTTTTTAGATGGTTTGTTTTCTCAGTGGAACCCCTTTTATAAATACGCACACGTGTGTGTGTGTGTGTGTGTGTGTGTGTGTGTGTGTGTGTGTGTGTGTGTGATACCAATATATTTCTACTAGCCAAAGCCCCTGGCAAATTGTTTCTGTTGCTGAGTGTTGGAGGTGGGCAGCCAGGAGACATGGCCGACAGCTGGTTGGAAACCCAATGAAATGCACACATCCACCTCTGCCAGGCACCTCCAGACACCAGCAGCAGCTTCCCTGGAAAACCCTCCCAAGTTCCATGGATTCACCAGAGCTGCGCTCCGGGTTCTTCTTGTGAAAAACCGAACAACAATGAAGACATATCTCACCCTTGGCCCCTGCCCCCACCCAGTAGAGCCAGAGGGTGGTGGGTGTTGGGGAGCAGTAACCCTCTCTCTGTCATCATGGTCTGCAGCTTGAAGGGGGGAGAGCCAAGCTGTGATGATCTCATAGGTGAGCCTTTCATCTGCCAAAGGGGAGATGACCCCAAACTCCCCTCCAAGCCCCTGTGAGGATGCCACTTGGAGAGGGGTAGGCAGCTTTCTCCACCTCTGCAAGGGCAGAAGGGTCCTGGACATATACTCATTCATTTCTAGTTTACAAGCAGAGTCTCACACATATCCACATGGGAGGCCCCATTTGACAGATAAACAAACTGATGCTGAGATAAGAGTCCCTCCGCCTTGTCCTAGGGTTGCCTCACCCATCAGCTGAGAGGCCAGAGCTTCAGCCCCAGATGCATCTTCCCAAGGAAGTCTTCATGGCCATCATGTCCGGCTCTTCCAGTGTCCTACTGGACCTTTTAGTTTGCCTGTCTTGCCCACTAGCCTGTGTGGGGCTGGCCGGTTTATGCTCACACCCCAGCATCTTGCTTGGGGGCTGGTACTTGGAAGCAGAGGAAGCCAGCATTTCATATCAGCAGATTATGCTGCTGGTGGAGTGTGGGCAGAAGGCAAGTGAGCCCCCTCTAGCTCTCTGGAGCACCTGCTCCTTCTGGAAGGGGCCAGCCACATCAGCTTGTTGCTGGAGCCCCCCCTACCTGCCTCTCTCTGCAGGGGCTATTGGGTGGGAAGGATGATTTTCAAGCACAGAGTGGAAGGGGGCAACAGTGATGAGACACCTGCTGGGCTAGATGTGTTCTATCATCTCAATGAACTCTCTCCCCAGCTTTGTGGAGAGTGCTGACATTTTGATTTATGAGGAAACCAAGGCTCAGAGAGATTTAGTGGCTTGCCTAAGGTCACCTATCTAGTAGTGGTGCACAGGCTTGAACCTGGAGTTGTCTGACTCCTAAAATGAGACTTTCCTGTCTCTGCTGCTGTCTCTTGGGCGGGAGTGTCAACATGGGCTCCATGAAAGCAGGCCTGGAGAACCAGAGAAAGCAAGAACCCAGGACAGCCTTTCTGTCTTGGGTTTTTACGCTCCATTTCTGATGTCAAGTGAGATGACTCTTCTCTTGGAGGCTCATTTCCCTGTCTTCAAAATGGCTAGAATTGGCTCCCAGTGGTCTCAGGGTGGGAAGGGCCAGATTTAGATAGACGGACATAAAGAACAATTGGGCTGGATGTCAGCATTCGGACGTGTGAGACAAGGACTGAACTTCTTAGAGTCCTATCTGTCACCTCAATGTGTATTTCACACCAGAAGGGCCAGCAAGACCTCAGCTCCGCCCACCCCCACTTTCCCACCTCTGCTCTTCTCAGGGGACCCGATCTTCACTACCCACCTGCCCCAGCCCCAGACTCCCTGATCTTACCCAAGCCATCAGATAGGTTCCCACAAAAGCCAGGGATAGAAATGATTTACCCGGAGCCAGATCTGACAGTCTGAGCAATGTGTCACCCCCGCCCCCGCCAACCTCTGGGGACACAGCAAAGAGACAAATTAGCCCCTAAACTCTAGTCAGGAAATGAATCTCCCATCCACCCTCCCATTAGCCCCCAAGAAATTAATAAACTCATCAGATGCAGCAAAGTGGCTTGGCAGCTATCACCCAGCGCAATCTAATTGCAGAAAGGCAGTGGGAGGGAAAGTGAGAGACAGAGCCGGGCGCCCTGGGATACGGGCCAATTGCCCCACCCACTGGGCACCTTCCACCCCACACACATGCCAGGGGTGGGCAGGAGACACAGCTCTCGTCGCTGACAATCTGTTGCTCTGCCTCCAGCCAGATTCCCTTGCTCCACCCTGCTGACGCCTGCCCCCCAAACTTCCCGCAGGAACAGCTGTTTTGTCAGCGTTTTCCACATGCCCTCATGCGCCGGCCTGATCACATTCAAATGATGGCTTCCCATGGCCCTCTTTCTATACTTTCTGTCTCTCCCGCTTGCTCTGCCCTTGTACCATGTCCATGGATTTGGACGACACCGTGATAGCCTCGACAACCCCTTAATGCAGGTAAGAAAAAGGCACCCTCCGCCTGGGCCGATGTGGCTGCGCAGGTGCACGGCTGGCCGTGCTGGATTCCATCCTGTCCTTGCCCTTGAGCTCTGCACCATCTGCACCATGAATGCAGTGGCCCCAGAGTGGGAGGACCTGAGTTTAACGTGGCTTCTCTGTTGATGAGCTGTGTGACCTTGGGGAAGTTACTCAAACCCCCTGAGCCTCAGTTTCCTCCATCTACAAAATGAGGGTGACAATAGTGATTATCACCTCACAGACTACTTAACGAGACTAAAGGAGATGGTACGTGTATGAGCACTATGCAAGCATTCATTAATTTACTTTTTAATGCCATGTTCTGAGACAGAAGGTGGGATCTCTCCCGTGCCCCCACTGTGGGCTTTACCAACCCAAGTCACAGAGCTGGTAAGTGGAAAAACAGCAGGACTCAAGACAAGGCCAAATGTGCCGCTTCACAGAGATCATAATATTTAAAATGAATGTGTACTTCTTCTCACAACTGATTCTGATGCTCCTGGGAGAAACTTCTTGTGATCGGAGTGTTTCGTCAAATATGGACATGTCTGTAAATAAATGATAACGGGATGTGTCTGCGTGTACGCAGAAGGTATCCTTCATCCAACATTCCTAAAGGATGCAGGATTTATGTTAATTTGTGTTAACATGAATTAATAATAATCTTGCTCCTTAAGCACTAAAATTTTGGAGATTTTATTTATCTGAAAGCATTGCTCCCAAAAATTCTTTCAAAGAGAATTACACGTTCCACGGTCCTCTTAAATAGAGTAAGAGTCTTGACCTTAATTCAGTGTCATCGTTATGAAGGCAGTGCTCTGATATAATGTTGCTATCCGTTCCCGCAATGTGGATGGCCACTTGCCTTCATTTCTGCGCTTTGATAAGTTAATCTGTCCACTTCTCAGAGCATCTCTCCTCCTTGTGAGCTGTCACTCGGGACTGCTGTCAGGATAGCTGAGTCTAACCCCTGGGCGAGGAACCAAGGGACCAAGGTCCAAAGAATTGCCGTTAAGGAGAACACAGATGAGGCCGGATGGGATGTCGGGGCTCCAGTGGATGGATTCCGGGGCATCAATACAGACTACCCATAGTCCTTTGCAAAGGCCGCTGCTGAACAACTGAAGGAGTGCCCGAGACCTGCATTTAATCTGGGTGTGACCCTGGGTCAGTGTAAGCAAGCTGGTCACTCCCTCAGTAACCCGCCTTGGGAAATGCTTGTCCAGGGCCACGACCCCAGGGGTCCCCCTGCTGCTTCCCGAAAGAGCTGGGAGAGTCTCACGTGGGGTGGAGAGGCCCACGTCAGCATCTATCCTGTGGCCACGAGGCCCAGGGGCCCTGAGCAAGTCAGCAAACTTCCCCGCGTCTCCCCCTTCCCCGGCCTCCACTCTCGTCCTAGTTTCCACTGAGCTCCCCCTGGACAAAGTGACACTCTGGCCCTTTGTTCTGTTTTCCACCCAGCAGCGGGCAGTCATCTCGACACGATCTCCAATATGACCCCACTAGCCCCCGGCTTAAAACCCTGCAATCCTTCCCATGTTGGTCTAAGGACAGAGATCCTTCCCACAGCCTCTCAGGCCCTGCAAGGCGGGCCTCTGCCCACT